GCCAGCCCCAAGCTTGTTCCAGATGTTGTCTTTTCCTCTTAAGTATGGCAGGTGATTGGGCTCTGGACCCAAGAGGAGAAACAGAGGCCAAATTCACATTTCAGAGCAAGATGCAAGGCTACAACCTCCTCCCCACATCTACTCTAGCCTGGAGCAGGCCGTAAGGAGGAGAACCCTGTGGTCCCTCACCCCTGAAAACATGCTCTGCGTGGTGGGGGTGGGGAGGAGGGGTGTCACTGGGCTCTGATGGCCTCTGGCCTGAAGGGCCCCTGTTGACTCAGACACTCTTAATGCTGCTGCGGCCTCAGCTCTGGCATGCTCAGCTCCTGGCTAACTGAAACATCCTTCAAGAAGCTGTCCTTGCATGTGCCAGATGCTCAGGATAGAAGGGGCCGCCAACAACAGACAGAAGAGTTTGGTAACAGGACATCTTGGTGCTGAGGCTGGTACAGGCTTTAGGAGGAGGAATTAAGTGCCGCTTGAAACAAACGAGGGAGAGGAGGAGCTGAAGCCGCCGAGGCATTCTCCAGGTGCCGGTGAGGCTCGGTGGGCTCTGGGCCGCTGAAGGACGACACGCACGAGTGGGCAGTGACCGCCCCCGTCACCACTCCCAAGGAAAGTAACCTCAGCCGCCAGAAGAGGGGTACTAGGGACTTCCTCCTCTCTCTGCCTTAACGCCACTGCTAAGAGTTAGATTGAGGCACTTACACTGTGTGGGGGATGAGCCCTTGCCCTGCATCCCCTCACTGCAGCGTCTATAACCCTGCGGGACAGTCACTACTAGCCCCTTTGTACAGGTAATCAAACCACAGCCCAGAAATGTGAGTGACTGGCCCAAGGCCACAATTATGAAATTGTGGACACCTAGGTCCACATCTTCACCGCCCAGCTCTACTGCGTCTCCGTGACAGCCCCTGAATATCACGGCATCCCATCTGGTCCCTAGGGCTGGCCACCAAGGAAATGTCAGCTCCCTGCTCTGCAGCCACCTAGCCCCAGCAGAACCCTGGTAGCTCAGCTGTCCCATTAGCAACCTCCTCCAGGCCCCTCATCTCTCCGCTGGGGCCTGCTGAAAGCGGAGGCCTGGCCCAGCCACGTCGAAGGGCATCAGGCGGCACACCTCTATCACCGGGCCTGCAGCTCTGTGCACCACCTGTAAGAGTCTGAACACAGTCCCTCTACTGGGCCGTTCGGGTGACAGCAAGACAAGCGGGGGCCTTTGATTAACAAGCCTCCTCCGCCTAACACAAACCTACAGCACCGCCTGCTTCTTGCCTGTACCTGTCCCTGGACAGAAAGCTCCCTGGGGGGAGGAAAGGTCTTGCTCGGGCTTCTAGCCCAGGACCAGATACATGTTCAGTGAGGACCTGCTGAATGGCTGGGACTTGGCTCACACGCCTCATGCTTCAGCACCATGTCTGCGCCACATCCTTGTCGAGGTCCTGAGCTGCTCGAGGGCTGGCGCCTGGGCTTCTCTCTTGTTGCCCATCTTCCCCAAGCTCTGGGGTAAGGCTGGCACCCAGCCGGCTCCTGGAGCGCAGGTGCGTGGCTGGCACAGCCCCACTGACAGCTCTCATGGGGCTGACGGGCCGCACCTCCTTCGCCAGGCCACGGCCGAGAGCTCCTCCTCACAGAAGCCTTCCTGAGCCAGGTCCTTTCCAGGAGCCCCGGCGTCAGGGCCGCTGCTTTGGCCGGCTCATGCTCTCCATGGCGTTCGTCACGGGCAGTAACCATCTGGGTTGGTTGGCTCTTTCTCCCAGCCTAGCCCACGAGCGGCACAGAACAGAGACCATTTCTGCTGCAATCTCGCCCATGTTCTCGTACAGAGCCTAGCATGGTGCCTGGTACACAGCAGGTGCTCAACAGTTTGTGGAATGAATGAGAAAGTGTCTTCAGGGAAGCAAAATCAAAGAGCAGAGCAGAAAGAGGGGCTGTCCACCTTTCCTTCTCACTCGTGGAACAAAACCAAAGTTCTGAGTGGGCAAACACTCAGAACTTCCAAATAGTCACATGCCGTCACATCCCAGCCCAAGGTGCTTAGGGCTGGTCGGTCGGTATGGCTCACAGCGCTGTTCTGAGGGGTGGGACGGAGCAGTGTTTTCACTGGATATGGCCCCCGAGCCCAGCTACTACCCCATCTGCCAACAGGGCACAGGTGACCACAACAGTGACTGAGCACAGCACTCATGTCTCAGGATGTCTCCCGAAGTGTCCGTCAGGTGGGCCGGGCACCACGGTGGGGGCAGGCACAGGGCAGTGGTCAAGCCAATGACAGCACTGCATGCCCGCAGACAAAACGGCTTGGATTCGGCGAACTACAGCTCTGCTGGAAGAACTTGGTAAAACGTAAAAATATATATTATTCTTAATATACAGGGGTTAACATGGCTGACAGCTGAGCAAAAATTTGCCTTGAGCTACCAGCCGGCACTGGTGACGAGTGCCCCGACCATCCCCATGCCCCTCCGTGACCACTCCCATACACCCAGGAGAGCTGGGGAGAGGCACAATGGGCATGGGTGCAAACAGAGTCCAAGTCCATGAGCATGGGCCCGCTGACCTCAAACTCATGAGCACTGTGCTCAGCTCCAGAGCCAGCCAGGCACAGACGAGGAAAACGTCCAGCTTTTCTGTGTGCCACACAGAGTAACTGCCTCAGATATGTTGGAGCGATGGTATCCCCTCACCCCCACCCCACACCCTGCAAACTAAAAAACAGAAACTTGATGGAAGAAATGAAACTAATGTGGTACTTGATCTAATGGTAGTGGACATCCCAGTGACAAGGACATCAGGGCATTCGGGAACCAGGAATCACGGCCTGACTGGGTATGCCCAGCACATCCACTTATCATGCTCAAAGAAAGCCCTTTGGGTGTCACAGCAGCCTGGAGTTGGTGGAGCATGGGCGTTGTCAACATTTGAGTTATAAGGAAATTGGGGCCCAGAGAGGTTAAGCGAATCACTCTAGGTCACACAGCACGTAAACTGGCAAGCCAGAATGAAGCAATGTCCTCCGCTTCCTATCTAGTAACTTCTCCCCTGACTGCCAATGTTCTACATGGCTTTCCTGGGTGTGTCATAAGCTCTGGGCCTCTGGTTCCTCATCTGTAGAAGGAGAAGAATCATGCCTAGCTCATGCTACACCTCTAAGAGTCTCTGACAAGCAGGGGGTTAAATGTCCCAGAAGTGTAAATGCCTCCCAACTATAACCCACCGATGACTTCTCGTGCCTAGGTGCTTTCAAAAGAATACAACAACTTCATGTCCCTCATGACAGTGTTCTTTATGGAGGAACCCTTGGTCTTGCCACACTGAGAGACAGGAGAGCAAGAAGTGATCCAGCTCTCCTGCTGCCTATTACCACTTCAGAAGAGGCACCTTGTCTTGCTGAGTCTCCCTGTCTGGCTGCAAGAATGGAGGGGGCCCTTCCTGCCACATACCCTGAGGTGCATGGAGCACTAAGAAGTAAAAGCGTTACAATGGCCCAGAAGGATCTGGGTCCCTTCTCCACTCCCTACCAGCCATATGCCACCCCAGGCAAGTTCTCCTATGCTTTTAGGCTGGTTTTCTCATCACTACAAATGGGGGTGACATCCCTGCCCAGGTGGGTTCCCACAGTGGCCATGGAGCCACCAGTGAGACCGGTAAGGTTATTTTCGGGAAAAGGACCACCTCCCCACCCCGAGAGAGCGAGCTGATTTCGAGATTGGGACTAGGGAAATTCAGGGTGAGACTAGAACACCTCGTTGTGGGGGAAAGCAAGAAAATGTTTAAGAATGGAAGAGGCCATCGCAAAGGACAGCAGAACCAGCTTGAATGTCAAACATGAGACAACGTGAGCAGAGTACTGAATGACGTCATAGTGTACAACCCATTAAATTAAAGAAGTCCATGAAGTAACATTTCGAGTACAAAAAACAGAAAGAGGGAAAGGGCAGACGGAAAGTAAGTTCTTTACAGAAAAGTGCCAACTAATACGGGCAGAAGAGATGACAGAAGTAGAAAAATCACTCTTTTGTAACCACTATTGTAGTAACAGATTCGGGTAGGATCATCCAGGAATGCCAAAGCCACTGGGTGAAGGCTGTGCAGAAATCCAGCAGACACCACCTCAACCATATGACCCGAGTGAATCACCAGTGGCAGGACAAACCCACATCACATGCCTCCTGGCATGATACTAGACAAGGACGCAACGGCACTTAGGTAATCCCCCTGCCAAAACGTTTAACCCAAATCCAAGCATAGGACCAACCCAGACTGCAGGACATTCCACAACACAACTGGATGCACTCTTCAAAAATGTCCATATCATGGAAGAGTTGTAAAAAATTAAAAAAAAAAAAACAACAACCAAAAACCAACCAGAGGAATTGTTTTAACTTAAATAAGACTAAAGAAACCTGGCAACTAACGGAAATGCAGGATCCTGAAATGGATGCTGGATCAGGAAAGAAAACCAAAAAAACTATAAAGGCCAATACTGGGAGATTAAAGAAATTTCTAAATGGACTATATAACAGCCAAAAATAAATGTATAAACGTGCACACCTATGCACACACACATACACACCCAGGTTGGGGGAGAAAAAGCCAATGGGGCAGGGGCACCTGGGTGGCTCAGTCATTAAGCGACTGCCTTCGGCTCAGGTCATGATCCCAGAGTCCCGGGATCGAGCCCCGCGTCGGGCTCTCTGCTCTGCGGGAAGCCTGCTTCTCCCTCTCCCACTCCCCCTGCTTGTGTTCCTGCTCTTGCTATCTCTCTCTCTGTCAAATAAATAAATAAAATCTTTAAAAAAAAAAAAAAAGCCAATGGGGCAGAATGTCAACAACCGGGGCACCTGGGTGAAAATGTTCATCGTACTACTCCTGTCACTTCTCTGCAGGTTTTGAAAAGTTTCAAAATAAAAGAAACCACACAGATCGGATCAGTCCCTAGAAAGTGTCCGAACTGCCACGAGTCCTGTGGTGTCCTCGGGGGACTCGGACCTACTCACCTGTCAGGTACTCCAGGACGGCGGCCATGTACACGGGCGCCCCCACTCCAATCCTGTACTTGGGGTGGCCTTTCTTGATGTAGCGCAGCATCCGCCCCACGGGGAAGATGACTCCCGCCTTGGCGGACCGGGAGGTTTTGGTGGACTTCTTCTTCCCACCCCGGCTTGACATGGCGGTGGCCCTGGAGGTGAATCAGTAAGCACACTGTGGAGGCAAGAGGCACAGACGTCAGGATCCTGGGACGGGGTCCCCCCGCTTCCCCGCACTCTCTGGCCCCTAGAAGAAATGCCACCACCTGCAGCCACTGAGTCCTCCGAGCCCAGCTGATGCACTCCGCTGGAGCACTTCGGCCCCTAAAAAGAGAACGGCGATGCTCTTCACGTTTTATACCATAACATTAATTTTAGTGGCCACCTGCACTTAAACGTTACTCTGACAATGAGTGCTCTTAAGTGCCTTGCCTTTATGCCACATGATGTAAAAGAAAATGGGATTTCTTGACTACGTCCTATACACTTGTTTAACAATTGCATTTTCATACCCTTGAGACCAGGGCGGATAAATGGGCTGAAGCCTTCATGAAAGAAAACTATGTCCCCTGTCCCCAGAATGATGTAAAGCCTGATACCTAGGCCCTCTGATGAAAGCAGCGTCTCTAGCTCACGACCCTTTCTCTGTTGGGGGGCAAGAACAGCTCACAGGAGTTCAGCAGATAGCTGGGCCGCAATCACAGGCCCTCAGAACACTTCCAGTCCACTAGCTGGGCCTGTCTTTAGAGAAGACAGAGAAGTGCTTGTCTTTCCCTGCTCTTCCTCCCTATCCCCATCCAAAATGTCACTCAAGTCCAGAGGATGCTCCATCTCCATCAACTCTTGGAAGGCCTCTCCTATCCACCCCAACTGTGACTGAATCCAGGTCATCATTAACCAAATGATCTCAAACATCTCCTGAGGAGGTCTCCCCACCATGAGCCCTACTCTCCAATCCACCTGGCCTCCGAGGGTAGTACATACAAGTCTGAATACTCAACTGCCCTGGTCTGAAAGCTTTCCCTGGCTGCCACAGTTCCCAAGAAAAATCAACACCCCTGGCCTGTCATGCAATGCCTCAGAAATCTAGGCCTGGTACATCCATCCAGCTTCACCCCATACCTCCGGTGGTCCAAACTTGGACACGGGGAGTCACACACAGCTCCTGCAAATGGCCTCCCCTACAGGGGCTGGGCCCTTCGGCCAGGACCACCACGATCCCTCACACTTGCGTTCTGCCCTCTGCCAACCCTTCCCTGAGTGCTCAGATACAGCTACACCATCCTCTGCGCCCCCTTGCACTTCATGCCACAATGATGTGCACATGCCCCCGTCTCTCCCGTCAGAGTGCAGGCTCTCAGAGGGCCGCCCCTGGCTGTACTCCTGGCAGGACACCACTAAGGTCTACATGTGTGCCAAGAGCATTCAAGGTCTCAAATGTTTGCTGAGAACATTCAAGTCATTCATGCATTCACTTCAGGAGCTGGGCTGGGGAACGGGGACAGCAGGGCACAAGGCAAATGGGATCCCTGTTCTCCCAGAGCTGGTGGGGAAGAGAGAGAAGAAATAACCCTACAGTCATTTAAATGATCATCATGAAAAGCAGTGAGGGCGCTGGGAGAAGGGTTGTGAAGAGGCTGAGGCCTATCCTTGGGCACCATGCAAGCATTTCCTGGCGGACATCTATGCTCAACCACTAAACCAAATGGACAGGACTCCCATTTACTGGTACACTGAGGTCAGGCTGTGTGGTGTGTGGGCCACTCCAGCTCCAACAGGCCATGCCTCTATGCCAGCAGGGGCCACAGAGTCAGGAGTCCTTGTTACTCTGACACCCAACCCTGTATTTGGAACACAGCGTGGTCCGTACCTAACATCAGTGCGACCCCTAAGATCATCTCAGTTGTCTGCCTGACACAGATGGCCAGAACAGCAGACAGCAGAATTCTTGGGCACTCTAACAGAATTATGGTGGCTCTGCATAGATGTTGGGGGTGGGGGTGGGATAGCTACAGACAATTATGATGAGAACCTTCTGTTTCTCATCAAGGGGCACCAAGTCTTAATTGATCACTGAGTGCTAAAGAGAGTCCCAGAAGGGCCTGAGTTTCTCTGGAACAATTAAATGGCTCCATTTCTTGCTGTGATGAGCTCCATTTTGAAAGGTTCCCTGCAAACAGGTGTCCATGCTGACTCTGAGCAGGAAATGGTACCTGCCCACATGTGTGCATGTGTGTGTCTGCAGGGAAAGCGGTCAGTGGGCTTCCCAGCAGTCTTTTGCTTGGCTACAAATGTGTTTCACAGACCAACCCCACGCCTCTGGACTAGGAGTTTGCAGATCTGAACATTTCCCCTCCTTTAGCAGGAGAGGCCTACGGTCAGTGATGATTAGTCAGCTGAGCCCCATTCTTACCGGAGTGCAGGCGTCAGCTCCCATCCCCAGGCAGAGCTGTCTGGGTATGTCTGGGGCTGCCTCTGTGGGATTCGGGCAATGTCCTGCCCCAGAGACGAGCCATCAGCATGCAGGGACCTGATGGTCCCTAGAAATGCTCAGTCCTTAAAAGTGACGCTCCTGGTGCTTCCCTTCCACTCCAGCCATTCCGTGGACAGGCCGCGGACCCCCAGGTGCTCACTTGGCTGTGCAGCCCCAGAGATCTGTTCTGACTGCCTGTGGTAAGGACCCACTTGAAAGTCCCATGGGCACCTGAAACTCCCTCCTCTGGGTTTCTCAGCCCCAGCAGTGACAACCTCATGCACCAAGCCACCAAGCAGCAGTCAACCTGGGCCCTACTTCTCTGCCCCCCTTCACAGTGCCCCACCATTAGCCAAGCTCTGTTAAACCCACCTCGGAACTTCTCGGGCCTCTTCCCTTCTCTTCGGCCTCCCTGGCTTGGTTCAGCTCTCTCCTTCTTACCTACCATGCTCAGCTCCACTGAGGCCAGAGGATGTGTGCCCCCTTGCGGGTTCCCAATCACCCTGAGCCAGCCACAAACAGCATCCTCCAGCGGTTTCCATGGCACTGCTTCCTGCCACCCCTGCCCAGGGCCCAGGCTCCAGGCCACCCCTGACTTCCTGCCCTGCGATGCAGGGTCCAGAATGTCTCTCCTGCCTCTGACACCCTTTGTCCTCTTGCCAGCCCGCTGAGCTGATCTCTTTCAATCCCTGTCCTCTGGCCTGACCACGGACTGGCGTCACTCGCTGCTCCATGTTCTCAAAGCCCGCATTCTGGCACGTCTCCGTGCATCTGCCTCCCCAGCCTGACTGCACTGCAAGCTACCTGAGGCCAGGCTGTGGTCAGCTCATCCCTAAGTCCCTGGGTCCCAGGCAGGACCTTCAATGTCATGGATCCTCGGGTGCCATTCTGCTGAGAGAACATCTCCACACCTAATTTTCAGTCAGGCTCCTGATAACGCAGCCCCACGTCTTCATATCCCCCCCACGCCAGGGCTGGTCCTGCAACTCCTGCTCCTCACCCCTCCCATGTTCTTCCCACACTTCTAACTATAGGTCCCCAAGCTGCAGTCACAGCTTGGAAAGACTTCTGACGGAGCCATGCAGCCTCCTGACATCCAGTGATGTGTGCTGACTTTAAAAATATCTTTAGGAAAATCACCTTGTAGCTGGGTAGTCTCCAGATAATCCCGTGAATGTGCCAGGTCCATCCCGCTCTTCAGGGGTCTATGGAGACAAGGGCGGCCAGGGCCAGGCACCCACATCAGGGGAGAGCGGCTGTGGTGGACGTGGCTATTGAGCACTGACTCAAATTCCAAAGTCAGCCTGGCCTCATTCAGGTTGTGGCTCTGCCACTTAGGCCTGTGTGTCCTTGGGCATGTGACATAATGTTACCCTCGGAGCTTACTTTACCGTCAAGCAGTGATGAAGACAGAATGGACCCCAGACAGTTGGTGGGAGAACTGAGCGAAAACATGCATATGCAGGGCCCAACAAGCACTCCCTGAGTGAGTGCTCAGGTAAGTCAATAAAAATAACAACAATGTGTATAATTTGAAAAGAGGCCGCCTCCTTGAAAACTGATGTTGGTTATTTTCACTGGCAAGGACAGCACTAGCTGCTGTAACAAACAAGCCCCTACAGCTTACTTCTCCCTCGTGAAAGTCCAAAGTGGGTCTCCACGATTGGCAGGTGCTGCTCCACATGAGTCATGGACCTGGACCCCTCCCATCCTTCAATGCACAATTCCCAGTGTTACCACAGAAGGGAAAAGGCCATGGAGGGTAACACATGGAGGTCTTCAAGGTCCAGGCCTAGAAGGGGGGCACACCAGTACTGACCATGACCATGATTCATTGACTAGAACTTGGTCATATGGCCACAACTAATTGCAAGAGAGGTTGAGAAATGTCCTTTAGCTATTTGGTCAGAGGAAAAAACAGCCAGTCTCTGTCACGTAACAAACCAACTTGAAAGCTGACCATGAAGCCAGGGTGTGAGCAACCAGCCAAAGCCTACTGGGCCCTGTCTGACCCATGTCCTGTATCCAGCCTCTTCTGAGAGATGGCTGGTCCTCCATCACAGAAAAAGTGGCTTCTAACACACTCGGCTTCTCTTCAATGCACTGACATTGCTCAGAAGAGGATCAGCTATACTATCTTGTCAAACTGACAAAACTGTGTCCTTCCCTCCTTCCAGGACTAATCATCCAGGAGGGCACCCCATTCAAGAAACCAGAAGCCCTCACCCCTAGAGAGGGCCCCACATGCTTTGAAGACAGCAACACGGCTTTAGGCAACCTTGGCATCCATTCATCAGGGCACATTAGCTTAGCTGGTTTTTTTGACTGTTACCAGGCCAGGAAATGAAGATTCTGTGGTGGGTCCTGAGGGATCTCTGTGGTCTTTATCTCTGCAACTCCTCTGACTATAAATTAGTCACAATAGACATGAACCTTGCTTGCAGAAACCCAAAGCTTACCCAGAGTCACACACTGTTGGAGAAGGGCTATATGGAGAAGTGAGCCAGGCTTGAGTGAAAGGCAAGTCTCTGACCACAGGCCTCCCAACAACTGAGATGGGGCCAGGGCATGTGACCTGTCCTCATGGTACAGGACTAGTAAGGCTGGCTGTGAGGATCCCGTGAATAAGATGGACATGAGAGTGACAAGCCCTCTACTATCAGGAAGGGCAACAGAGGTAAAAGGGGCAAAGGGCTATCCTA